TCTCTCATGTGCCAGGTACTAACCTGTGAAGATGGCGCTGTGCTGCAGGTACCTCGAAGACGAAGCTGGAGCAATGGCGCTGCAGGTAAGTCCCTCTGGCCTCTGCCCAATCTCTCTCTCTTTAGTACTACTCTAGCTGCTATGGCGCTCAGCGCTGAAGACTACAGCTAATGCTACCAGCGCCCAGCGCTGAAGACTACTGCTAACTCCGCTACTACTCCTGCAGCACTCCTCCAGAGTGCTGCTGCCGAATCCTGAAGACTACTGACTGCCTCCTGCCTTCCCCGTGAAGTGCATGGGAAGTCCCTATGTACTACCTCGGCCTGCCTCCTGACTGGATTTCAGGCTTTCAGCCTGAGGGACGCAGGGCCTGGAAAATGGCCCTCGTGTGCAGGCACAGCATGTAACACCCAGTTTGAAACCAAGGTTACAGCCACATCACCAACCGCTACTCCAGACCGCCAACAGAGGACATACATCGGTCCAAGCATACCATCACAAGAAGTCAAAGTAGCAGTCAATTCTCCACACACCGACAACTTCCGGCACGAAAGCAGGATCAACTCGATAGCTGATGGCAATCAGCAAGGCCCACAGAGCAATTGGTAGAATACCGCCGCAGGCCAGACCCAACCACAGTCGGGACCGTGATCCCCCACGGCACCTCCGTATCAACGACCGGGGATCTGTCCTAGCGGTATATTGCGACGCCCGGATTCCACCTTCCGGCTGTCCACACCTACGAACACTGCTTCCTCAGCTCAACAGGACTACCAACACTAAGGTCGACCGAAACTAGCTTTGGCCAGAGATTGGTCAAGGTCTCATGAGTGTATTACCACCATCGCCCCAGCACCCACCATTTCACACCATAGCCAAGCCAGCGTCAGGTTCTAGCAGATTAGGTCAACAACTGTGTTAACCTAACAGCGCGATCCCCCAGCGCCCAAACGTCGTGCGCTCACATTAACGCTGCGTTAACGCAACGCTAACACAAATCGCGCTCGCTCGCGTTAGTAGAAACTGATCCAACGTGTGGGTCTCAAACTTTTGACTCCCCTCAATTTCCAATAACAAACGATAGTAATTCATCAATTAATCAAATTTCGTGAATTTTCAATCTTTTCGTTTAATTCCTCCCCTTCGGAATTCATCTATTATTGATTCGAAACATAGTTGCGGTGCGCGGATTTGCGCACGAATTGCGCACCACGCGCAGCGCACCGCACAGTGCACCAAAGCGCAGCGCACTTGAAAAATAAGGTCCAAAAAAAAAAGAAAAAAAAGTAGGGGTTTCATAATTTCTTAGGGCCCCCAACTCGGCAAAAATGTTAAACTCACCACGCAAGCTCGCAAACCAGCCGCGCCCACTGCCCAAACTTTTCTTTTGGGTAAGGGCTGCCGAAACTTCAATTTCCGCAGGCCCTCCCCCCAAAAGTTTCAGAATAGCGAGGCACAAAATAGGGATCATTCCAACTTTTGTTTTAGGCGGGGTATGAAAGCTGTCCTTCCCGCTGCCTTCTGCAAATCCCACACAGTAGTGGGGTAAGTTCGCAAGAAGGGGTAGTACTAACGACCTGCCCCGCGAAATTTCGCAGAATTCACAAATTACATGTTCCATGGCCAGCCGACACCCAATATATGTTGAAGATTGGCGTTCAGGTCCCCATGTCGGCAGTTATGGGTCAGGATGAAGATGACCGTGGCTCTCTCATTTTTTTGTTTTTGTTTTCTTACGAATACTTCAAGTGGGGATGCACAAAAGACATAGCATATGGCGGTGTATGGTTCCATGTTTTCGCAG